TGGCAACTTTCATAACGATCCCAACATTCTTTTGAGAAGGTTCCTGATACCATCCCTGTGCCTTCCACTGTTTCGGCGCGTATGTGAACACATTTGGGACTAACAGGGTTTACTAGAATCCCACCACTCCACCACAGAGTCACTGCAGTAGACGTGAGATGAGCGCTGTCACTCCGTGGCACTTGTTTTACTATCCCGGTGTGATACCAAGCATTGAAATCTGGTATCCAACACAAGAATCTACTATCCCGCGGATATCGGGATACCGCTAATTTCGACCCCTGTCGGTCAAGCGCACGTGGTGACGTACATTTCATCACACCTAAATGTCCACTTTGTGTGACACTTCATTACTAAGCATTGTTTATAGAACATCGCATCAAAACAATGATTGATGACAGCTTCCTTCTGATCACACAAGGCTAATAAGTTATCATCCAGGGCACAGATATAATTGCTGGCGGAGTATATGAAAAATTTGCGATGAGGATGAACGAGGAAATTGGCATCTCGATCTTCCGCAAACGATTCGGCTTTCTTGCTGCACGTGTTCACGTCATTCATGCTTGTGTCGCATCTGCAGGGCAAATACTACATGATCTTCGAGGAGACGTCGCACTTTTACCGCGCCTTCCTGCCCATCAACCCGTGGATGTGTTTCCTCGGCAACCGCGCCAATGACTCCGCGATGAGCTTCGTGTTCTCCACCGTGCTCGCGATCGCGTACTGCGTCTTCAAGGTATCGTCGTCGTCAGAGGGCTGGATAGATCCTTGGTGTTAGAACCAGATGTGCCCCCTCTCCCTTAGCGACAACCGTTAGTCAAGCTAGCAACAGATGTGCCCCTAGCAACGTACGTGTTATATGCTCACCGTGGCAGCCAGGATCTATTTGGGTGTGACTTACAGGGGATCTTTTCCTGTTGTTCTTGGCTTCGCAAGTAAATGGTTGCTAAAGGGAAAATTTTGACATGGGCACCCGAGGTGGTTACACTGGCTGCCTGCGCCCTCTTCTCTGGCCTGTAGTTGTACGTTGTCAGTTGCTGCGAGACTGATACAGATACACGACAACGAATCGTACCAAAATAAAGATAGTATTAGGAATAGTTACTCCTAGTGTGTAAATTATAGCATTTGATAGTAATCGATAGACTATTATTTACTAGTGGGCAGGATGAGAAAATAGTGACGCTTTTCATTCTTTGTGTATAGGGGGTGAGGTTGCTTCAAAAGACCAGAGAAATGACGGCAGCATTGCAAAAATTCCTGCAAAAATCGGTAAAATGTTTAGTTAAATAGTAATAACTCAGTTAGAATCTTATTGAGATAGATCTCTCGAGAATCCATAAGCCGATCTTGTATTGTGACCTCTTGTAGCCATGTTGATTATTTTCATAAACCTATCGTAACGTTTTTGCTGAAACTTACTCTTCGTTTGTTCACCCACACGACAAAATATATATAACGTATCATCATGTCTTTTCCTGGATATTTCAGTCTTATGGTACGACACCAACGAAAGAGGATTTCAGTCAGACTGGAAGCTCCTGTCCAATCTGTCAAGATGAGGTGCATGATCCAATCATGCTAGCGTGCAAGGTGAGCTGCGTTCTTTGTTATAGCCCATCATTTTTGGCAATCCTTTTTCTCCATGTTTTACACAGTTATGTTCGGCATTGCCATTGGATTAGCATGCATCCTTGCAGTTTTCCACTGCTAACGTTATAGTTTTAGAGCATCTAATGACGCTCCTAGGGTCTATGTCCCCCCAGGGTACTGCCGGAACACACCCTGGTCACTATTTGATATGGTTAGGGTTAGGATTAGGGTTAGGGTTCGGGTTGGGGAGTAGGCGTAGGCGACTCCCTAGACTCGTTAGTGGAGTAGGCGAGGTACGGTCCGGCATATTAGATAGTGTCTGCGACTCTAAACAAGGCAGACACCACGATAGTGGTTCATTTAACACAGTTTCGGCACCATTAATGTCTGCGACTCTAAACAAGGCAGACATCACGATAGTGGTACATTTAACACAATCCGGCCAGAGCACAGAAATACACAACACGCTCTCAACGATACAAATGGCGACTGATTTATTATAAGTTTTACACACACAAAAACAGATAGATGGCGCCACCGACTGGTGGCTAGAATTTACAAATTAATAAACAGCAATCTCAGACAGATAGTACCAGGGTACGCTCCGGTATACCGGACCGTACCCAGGGTACGTTCCGGCAGTACCCCGGGGGACATGGACTCTCTCAGCTCTAATGACCAGGGGCCCGTTGTCAGAAACAAAATTAGTCTTAACATTAGTCTTAACATTAACTTCCACTCGTAAACCGTTGACAGAAACATCGCAAAGTTACGAGAATGAAAAATCCTCGAAAATATCCTCTTAACATTACGAAAGCCCAGACCCTCTCGTAACTTTAATATTAAGTTGAAAATAACACATTTACACTACGAATTACAATTATAGTGATATTATATTTTATAATAATGAATAAAATGTGTTTTTCTTAAAAAACACGTAAAAATCATTAATTATCTACCGATCATAAAACAAAACAAAACATTTACAAATGGCGTATGGCATTTGTTCTCTTGTTTTAAATGTTTGCCACGCTTGCCACGACTCTCGCGTCTCGTGTTAAGGCCAACTCAGGTCGCCCTTACAACCTAAACACCATCAAATTTGAAGATCGTACGTCAAAAACCGGCCAGATGTTGGCATATTATGATGGCTAACCACATATAAATAATATTTGATGAAAAACGACACGGTCTTGAATTTATTCTGCACAACATTCAACAAGACAAATTCTCACATTGTAATGCGAGAGTCGTGGTTAGTGCAGAGTATTTAAATTAAAACAAGAGAACAAATGCCATACGCCATTTGTAAATGTTTTGTTTTGTTTTACGAACGGTAGATAATTAATGTTTGCGACGTGTTTTTCAAGAAATATTACTCATTAATATACAATCTAATATCACTGTAATTGTAATTCTTAGTCTAAATGTGTTATTTTCATCTTAATATTAAAGTTACGAGAGGGTCTGGGCTCTCGTAATGTTAGGAGAAAATTTCCCAGGATTTTTCGTTCTCGTAACATTACGATGTTTCTGTCAACGGTTTACGAGTGGAAGTTAATGTTAAGACTAATTTTGTTTCTGACAACGGCCCCCAGGCCTCCACTTCTCACATGACTATACCACGCAGCCTCGCGAGCATTGCAGAATTGAATGCTCTCTCGTTTTCCAGCACATATTCTGCGAGGAATGCGTGTCCATGTGGTTCGACAGGGAGCGGACTTGTCCCATGTGTAGGGCCAACATCATCGATGACCCAAAGTGGAGAGACGGCGGCACAGTGGGAACAATGCAGCTATTCTAAAGCCCCCTACCCTTCCGCACACACACACGGACACGCACGCACGCACACACACACACACATACATACACACACACACACACACACATACATACACACACACACACACGCACTGACACGCACGCACGCACTCAATATGGTGTTTTGCTATGCTGCTTTCGTATTCGTCGACTTTCGGCGAGGTTGCTATAGTACGTGTCGAGGTGACTCGAAACACTCGCATTCAATTGATGCTTTGATTGTGGGGGATGAGAACGAATTTGCAGTAAATGCAGATTTTAGTTAACTAAAATGCTGATTTGCACGGCGTCTTAAGGATTGCTGTGCCGGTGCTTGGAGCGTGAGAAATCTGTCGTTAGAGGTTTAACAATATTGTTTACTATACCATGACCGACGGCTAAAATCATGGCATGCCAGCTGAAATTTTATTTTACTGTTGGTCTGGGTAAACATAGAATGTATGTGACTATATAGTTATGTAAATACTACTCAAATAGCTCGGTGTAGTACAAAATAGTTGTTTTAAATGAAGCCAGATTATATAACGAAACATTGTCATAAACAGAAGTTGTGCCAAGCTCTTCAATTCCAAGCCCGAGCTAATCATGAAAATTATGACATTTCAAAAGCCTCCGTATACTAAACCTTGCCGTTAGAATGCATGTCTTGGTGTCTATTTTAACCTTTGCCATTCTTCAGCAACATGAGTTTACCTTTGTTTGTTGTAGGTTTTTTTAACAGGTATATTGCAAAATAATATGGTTTATTGCTTAAAATTGCTCTACCTAAACGAGTGAGAGTATATTATCCAAAGAAATAGCATGCTAACATAGTGGTAAATGTTATTGGCAGATACAATTGCGTCTGGCGATAGAACACTCATGATTTCTCCCTATTTGGCTAGCAATTTTTTTGGCAGAAATGTATTGAAACTCATATTGCAAACATTGTAACGTATAATCTCGGCACACTCATATCCTCCACGAAATGTCGTGTATAACCTGTCAAATATTAATTAATGAGCCGATTTGTTATGTTAGTGATAGAAAGTGTACTCCCTGAGGTAAGCGACAGAAGTAACTCGAGGTGCCATTTATAATTTTTACCTCATTACGCGCACGTTAAGGAAAGGTTCATTCCCGATCCCACTTGTATGTTACTATGTGGGCTATCTTGCGCATTCTTTGCTAGCTTACAATCAGCAGTGCTAAGTATCGTACAATAGCAAAGTAATTAACTGTGATAACACTATATTAGCACGAGAGAACTCGACTGGGTGCGTGCTCGTTTGTTTTTAGCAGGATAGATCAGTATGAGGACGTTAATGGGTTAGAACCTCCCATTATTACAGATGGGTTTGTGATTATACAGTTCAGATAGCGAGTGAGTTCTCATTGAGGATACTATTTAACGGTGAGCAATGTTTTGACATTTCTTGTACATAAAGGTGTTTCGAGTGATAATAGTAGTTTGATATATGTAGATTTATGTACAAACAGTGCAATAACATAATTAATGCAATCTAATTCAATGCAATCTGCATCTGACAGAGTAAACAACCTATTGACATGTTGACTAACCCCAATATTCGTAGAAGTCCAATGATACATCAGACTCAGAGATATTCAACGAAGTAGTCTATTTCATAATTGGGGTTCCAGGTACTAAGGTCTTCAACCTGCCAACTGATCACAGTTATATAGTGACCATGAGTGACACCACTCAAAGTACCGGCTATGTCGTTATGGAAAACCAAAAATAACCTTAATCGCATATAGCCAATCGGTGTGGAATTAACTCCACAGAATTACAGTTTATTGAAATATTAAACGAGATAACATCAATCAAGAGTGACTATAAAGTAACTATGTTTACCAGACATAACCAGATGGAATACCAATATGTACACGATGATGTATCCATCAAACACACAACACGGACACACAACCTACACTTTCTGCCAACTGTCTGCTTCAGGGACAAGTTAAAACGAAACACGTGAGATTCAATCATTGTTTACACACATTATTAAGAAATTTGGGATGAATACAAACGACCAAGAGAACAACATCACACATGACATTCCTTTTCCATAACAACGTATCTCTTCATACCTTCAATCTTTTTTTCAACAGTGTGCTAAACGCTCACGCTCTCCTAATCTTAACTCAAATAGTAATCTAGTTACTATACCGATTGGAAAACTAACATATAATACGAACCATTGAAACACTGTGTACAGATGATAGACGACCAGTTATAAATATTGACCCTGCAGCGGGCAGCAGTATTGAGATGGCCAGTGTCTATGTCCATGCTGGTGCTGTGTTTGCTAATCGTCTCATTCTCCTGTAATGAACAAACACCACAATAGCACCAAGGTCAAATGCTGACAATCCCTCGAGTTAGGTTTTTATTTTGTCTAGAAGTAAATATCGCTTTTAACCACGATCATAGAACACGAAGATGATAATGAAATAGATATGAACTTGTAGTTAAATCCTCTCTTTAAGTATCACTCTAGGCACTAACATTAATGCTGATGATCTGTGATAATTAATTGACTACAAACTGAAACTACAAGAACTATTCAGCCAAACGTGCAAGACACACTCTCAAAATCATGCAACCATACTGTGTGACGTAGGCAATCAAAAACGGAGGGAAAGCACTAAAAATTCTTGGCAATCTCACTGACCTTGTATTTCGATCCTGGTCTCTGATTTTCTTCTCCATCTCTGCATCTGTGAGTGTTTCTAGGAATGGTGTCCAGGCCTCGGCCTCAGACTGTGTCCGATACGGAACCTCCACCACTGGCAGGGGAGACTCACTGGAAAGAATCGACATACAAGTGATGTCATACAGTTAGGAAATCACACAGGCACATGCATACTCACGCACGCACACACAACACACGCGAACGTCACCTCTCTCATTACCCTCGCGATCTCTCCCTATGACGTGATATGGTGCTGTGGTTTCACAACACTACAGTGCACCCTTCTGGGGAGCGAACACGTGGCTCACCTGAACGCGTAGGTGCGCTGGTGCCAGCTGAGCTGTCCGCGCACACTGTAGGCGATCGCCGTGACGAACTCTCCGCCGAGGCCCAGCTCCGAACACAGCTTCAACGCGAACTCCTCCGGGCTGTTGTTCTCCTCTGACATGTCCCACTCAAACTGGTCGACAAGCGAGATGTTGCCGACGTGAATGTTCAACTGCGAAATAATAATAATAATATTTATTGATTTATATTGCGCACGTTACATGCAAGCATGTTCACGTGCGCATTACAAAGGCCGATTATAAAATGGCGGACTGCAACACTGTAAAATATAGATACAAAAATTACGACAATCCTATAACATTTCCTGATTATAGAATAGCGGACTGCAACAGGACAGCATGGTGCGGCACGTGGTTATCAAGGCTGCGTGCGGGCAGCGGATGACAGTACAAAGCCGGGGCCAGCACGCGCACGTACGGATTCAGCAACTCTTCGGATGGATTGGATCGCCGTCGCTGAATCCAGTGGTTTCTGTAACTGTCTATGCGAACGCGGAATATCAGTAACAGAACTTATCGATTCACACTGGCTTCCGGGAAGTAGTTGGCACCACCTATTGGGCACGTTATAGCGCATGTTACAATAATCTCACAGGTTGCGTCCCTGAATCCCCGATTCTACCCAACTGTCGATTTACTTCAGTAGCATTTCTGCGAGAATAATTGCAGGCACTAATCCCCCCCCCCCTGCTCTACTATAACGACTCGATGAGCTCACCTTAATGATGACTCGCTGATCTGACTGCTCCTCCAGGATATTGTCCAACGGGAAAGCCTCGATCTGCTGCCGGATCGCCTGCGCCACCGCCGGCACAAAGTTCAACGGGTTCAGGTCAAGGTCGTCGCACAGAATCTCGGCAAACTGCTCGGGCGTGATCAGCGTTTCTAGAGCAGAGAGAGAGAGAGAGTCGTGTTTTCTATAGAAGCCGGTATACAGAGATGACGTATTTAGTGACTCTCATGAAATTCACTAGTGACAACGCAGCATTATATCTGTAAGCACTAATATTTGTATTAAAATTTTGCCCCAAGGACACTCAACATGGCGATTTGATTTACATTAATAAATGCAGTCTTGTCACGTAGTCAATCTTCAGTAAAGAAAATTGAGAAAAAAATCTCTCATTAGGTTTCTATAACGGATCTGATAAGAGATTCAACAGATAGGATCCTAAACACGAACGGAGAAACGCAAACACACAAATGCCAATCCGCAAAACAACGCTGAGCTCGAAAACACACACAGGGAGATGAGTGAACATACAAACGTGAATGCTAAAACCAATGCTGAGTTTTGGAACATAAACGGGAGAAGGGGGGAGGGGAACGCAAACAAACAAACCGTAACACTGTAAGACATTGCTGGGCCGGGGAAAATAAACAGGGAGTGCTAATAACACGCAAACACCAACGCTGCAAAACAACTCCCGAGCTAGCGAAAATAAACGTGCTTCTACTAAAATCGTAAACGTTGAGCGACGGCTATTGTTTACCGTTCTTGTTCCACACGAACGTGTCACGCAGCTTCTGGCCTTCAATCTCCATGTCGAGCCGAATCGGAACAAGTTCCTCCATCGCGTTGGCAACCTCATGCACAGCCACTGGATCCTGGTCATCAAAACTACAAACAGCAACCAAGAAACAGGTCAGTTCCGAATCAATCTATTTCAGCATTGTCGATTTAAATTTTCTGGGCGTTTCAAAACTTGAGCTTCACTGAAATTGGTAACGATTGTGTGCACCAGTGTAGCTACTGCAACTGTCCAGTTATAACGTTTTTTATAAAAATTCAATCGATCAATCGTATTTATAATAAACATGAAAAAAATTTACAAAGTAATTTATGAAATGAAATTTTTGCACGTGAAGTGTCGTGCAATAGACAAGACACTTTAGACTAACGCCGGTCACAGTTATCATGCCACTGACAACGGATGCCCGACGACATACCACAGTGGGAAGGTCCGCAGCTTCTTGTGGCCGATGCGGTTGCGATTGATCGGCGTTGCACACGGCACGGCGTCGAGGTGGTGTGAACTGTTAGGCACCGTCGACACCCACGGCGCCCGCTTCGGTTTCGCTTCTCTGTTCCGCGGACACGCGTGAAAAAATGGGTCACAACATCAGAAACAGCTCGCTACTACATCACACTGATAATCACACAAAAATATTAATATTAGAATTTGCTTTACTCACCGTATTTTTTTATATAGTTTTTTCGAATAACTACAAATCGTGTGCAATCGTTTAAAGATATATAATCTTCAATAACATAATTTTAACATAATTTATTATTATTATTATTATCATTTATATATATATAATATATATATATATATATATTATGTATGTAGACATATAAGTAAACAAAAACAATGACAATAATATTCTAGTGTGGCAACATACATCTAGCCATTTACATGGCAATAATAATAAATTTCCAAGTGCCAATGTTACTCTACTTTAAATTCATGATTTCATATATGATTACACAGTTATCACGCTATCACTCTGCATGAGATGAACTTCAGGTTTGTTGGGGGGGGGGATATGTAATTAATCCACACTATATAACATTGTCATTCTATAACACATGCATTCAGAACTTAAATCATGGTGAGCTTCAGGTTAAATGCAACTTATATCGTGTACTGTGCAAAAGGCAGGTTCGAGCAACTATGTCTCCACAAACGACTGTTCACACTTTCATAACGTTTGAAGAAAGCAGCAAGTTTTATAACACTTTAAGATGAGAGGTTGATTGACCTGGTGACAGATGTGGTCAACCCAATATGTATACTACCACCATCTGTTCATAATATTAGCGCAACTGTAATGTTGAGGCTATATGCTAACTACTGCCACTTCTTCTCACGCGCACAATAGTATCAAGAGACGATTTGAGGAGACATAGAAACTACACGACATCGATGAGTATAGGGAGTGCGAGGAAGGCAGGCAATACGAGTGCACACACGCGCCTCACAACGATCGGGCAAACTTCAAAAGCAATCAATGCGAGTGCAGGATTTTCACAAATTCAACGACGTTGCCAATTCAGTAACGTGCATGCGATATTCCAGCACGGACTCATGCCAACTTCTGCGAAACAAGACATGCACCGATATGCCATTGATATGCACACGGTTCCCCGCGAGTCAAATCACGGTTTGATAATGACCTAAAAAACTACCCTGCCAGAAGAAACTAGCAAATCATTTTTGCTCTCGGATACCAAAATAACAATGCTGATGAGTACACGAGTGGGAAAAAAACAGACAGTATCATACCCAGCAGTCCAAAGACGAACTCGAAGATACACATGCCAAGCCAAACATTTTTTTACAAAATAATTACGCAAAAAGCTACACCCAGTGAGCGGGCTGCAAAGTGACACATTCGGAGATTATTCACGACAGTTAATGTGAACCACCAAAAAAGCGAGCATCAGTGCATGTACAGACATGCATAAAACGTATGAGCAGCTTAGTGAACTCTACAGATCTCAGTGTGATTCAGACACGCCTGCCTTGCCCCTACTAACCATCATGCATAGGAAAGCTATCAGTCAGTCAAGCCTCTTCAAATACTTATTAAATATTTAATATCAATATTACTACATCCAATGATGCAGCAATTAGTATATCACATAATCGGTGTGTGAGGTTTTACTAAGATTGAAAGTTGTGAGCAACAGCAAGTAGAAGTTACAATGGCCAACAGCTACATATTTTCACCTCCTAATTAAACAAGCAGCAAGTTACAGAAGGGTTTTCATTAATGACTAAATTTCACTCAATTAAATTCTTCAAAAAAGACCTGGTGCACCAGCACACTAGCTCTGAACAACAAACAACATAAAATCCCTAAAAGTACTATTCACTCAGGCCCTTCCCCCACACTATGCATTGCACCCCCCTCCCCACACACACCATGCCCCTTCCCTTACACTTTGCACTTCAGCCCTACACCATGCACCACTCCCTCCCGCCATGCACTGCAACCCCACACCATGCACCGCTATCTCATACAACGAGACGAGCATGACTAAGCAGGCGCTCCGCACCACACACGACAAATCCCAGGCTAAGCACACTGAGATCTCAGCCTACTTCGACTGCAGCACACGCTACCTGGCCGTGGGTTCGTTGCCCAGCATTATCGGCTTATATCTCGAGTCCTGTCCGGCCAAAATATCTTCCACCTCTGCGGCTTTGAGCAACGTCACGCTGGTGGCGAGCGCGTGATGGCCGAGTGCTGCGCACAACAACGACACGTACGCATCAGAAACAAGAGAACGTCGCGTCTACCTCGCTCGTCGCGGCTGCCACTCGTCGACACCGGGGAGAGGACGGGAAAGCTCGGGAGAAGGCTCTCGGAGAGGACGTTACGTAGCGTAACGAAAGTAACGATGATGCGAAACCCTGCTGTCGTGCAGTGCTGCAGTGCCGATGCCAAATTGATGTAGAATAAAACAACAGCCATGATCTCGTACAAAATGAGACCATAACATCATTAGAAGATCTGCACGCAGCACTATCGCAATCAAAATCGTTACTTTTGTTACAACCCCAAGTAGAAGCAACAGGAGACAGTACTCCATGCTCGAACCAACTCCATCCAAGAGCTAGCTCGACTGCTGGAGTGGGAAAGCGCTCTCAAGCAACCATCACAGACACGGAGGCTGTGTCTATCCTCATCCAGCAGTACCTAGGGATCTGGTCAGCACTAAAGATTACAGCCTTGTACTTCTCCTCATTGCCTCTGGTTATGTCATCAACTTCAGCTGCCCGTAAGAGGGTTACACTCGTGGCAAATATATGCTGCTGCACCGCTCCACCTGTGAACATCGTTACACGGTGATACCGAGCAATACAAACAGTTATACAGAGAGCTGGTCATGCGGCTGGTGAAACGAATGCAAAGATTAATGCAACTACAGATCAATTTAAATGTTGATCGCCAATGATGCACACATGTTGGGGAAGGCACGTGCATAATGCGCAAAATTGATATTCCATCCATGGACCAATGCTAACAAGGATTCCTTATAAGCCAGTAAACCACTTTTCTTAAACGAAACGGACTTCCTCATGAGAACCTTTATAGCTACTGTAACTAGCACTGTATACTTACGTAATCACGTTCTTCTATGTGCATATCTTTAAATTTTATTGAACACAATACGAAGATGAAATCATCATTAAAGAAAGTATTCATAATCATAAAAGTATATGTAATACTGCCATAAAATCACATTTATCTAGCGACTTGAATGTTTTAGTGCCATTTAGTAGATGTTACTTTATGTCTTATTATATAAACAACATTTTGCATAAACTTTATATTATCCTAGATAAATGTTTAGATACACACACATATACAACTATTGCATTTTACTATGCGTATCTAGACAGAAAATACAGTTGTAATGTTAACGCCATTTTCACAATGATAATCATAAGTGAAGTAAGCAATGATTAAATGGACCCAGTCATTGACTGAATAACCAAAGAATTGTAATACATTTCCATCAAAGTCAAAGATAACAACTGATGGTGAAAACTAAGCTAAAGGTAAAGACTTGTAAGTTAATTACCCATTTCTTGTATCTTTTTCCTTTCATCTGGTGTAAGCAGACGGCGCCACATGCCTGGATACCTCTTGTAAAGTGATCCACGAAACATCCGCAGGTAGTTACCCACCTGAAACAATTTCGGCCCAATCTTTAGGTCGGGCGTTTCTAGGGTCATTGTGAAATGGAGGTAGGACGCGGTCTGGGAGAACGGGTGACTGTGCACTCAGGATGTGGGGGTTTTGGGGGTAATATATAGAAGAGAGATTAGAGAGACGGGAGAGGGACACAGATGTAGGAGTGGGGAGTCTGGTTGTGGTCGCGCGAGTGTGCGCGTTTCTTTGTCTCTCTGTGCAAGATGTGACTACCCTGTGTGCCAGTTATTAAAGTTTAGTCAGTTTAAAACACAAGTTTGGATTCCTTCTTCATCATTTCTACATCGAACATTAATTCAACGTTACATTTTGGAGCCAGTGACCAGTCCAAAACCTGGGTATTCCTTTGCGGACGCAACGCAACACTATATCGATCTACGGGCCAGCAACGAAACAGAGAAAGAGAGTGACGAGAACAGGAGCAAGAGTAGGAGAAACGAAGAACGACGGAGAGCGATCGATAGAGAAGAAGAATGACGGAGAGCGATCGAGAGAAACAAAGAATGACGAGAGATATCGTCGTCTGAAAAATCCTGCAGGAAATGTTCTCTCCGTGAAAATGTAAAGAGGACATTTACAGGTGAAATTATAAGGCGAATAGAGTAAGAACGAAACGATTAGACTTTGTACATTTCGTGTTTAATTTAACCTTTATTATTTTCATTAGAGACTTCCCAAGTGCCTGTGCTTCGCCAGGGCAGCGGAGTCCATTCGATTATCCCATAATCGTCCCGCACCATGTTCTGAACCCTCTAAAACCCTAACCCTTGTTTGACTTAAAGATACACGGCTAAATATTAAAAAAACTGTCCGGGCATTTAGGAAATCGAAAAGACCGTAGCCCGGGCAGCACGTCACCTTTCACCCCGCGTCAGATTAGACCGAATAAACTCTGTGGTAGTGCTAAAAACGACCGGATGAACACCGGTTATCCGAGGCCTGAAAACATAAACAACTCGGACTCTCTTCTCTGATTGGGTCAGAGTAATTCGCGAGTACATAACAAGAACGATGATATATAATAGGACAATTTTTTAATGCAAAAGCAAGAGGGATAAAGAAATAATATTAATTCGGAACATAAAACAAAAGTTAACAGGCGAACAATATAAAATGAATAAGCAGTAACAAAAATAAATACAGAAACAAAATAAAATACAAAGAAATATAGAAGAGCAGCAGGAAAATAAAAACAGTTCGTATGGGGAGTTCGAACAAACGGTAACACACACTCTTGACTCACCAAACGAAGTAGAACAGCATCTAATCCGTTGATGGCCACTGAACCACTTGAAAGTGACTTAGGATACAGACGTCCTAACCGCTAACCCAAAACCCTAACCTAAAACCATAATCCTAACCTACTATCTCATAATCTAAATAATAAAATTAGCCAAAAAATAATCAAAATAAAATAGTGTCAAAAATGTAGACAATCAGAGAAGAAGAGTCCCCAGGTGCAAGCTTGTAAATCGCATCGATCGCCGCAGGGGCCCATTAACGGACCCAGAAATGATCGGTAGCAGGCTCAATGGAGAATAGACGGCCAGATACTAGAGAGAAGCCACAATATGTGTTATTAAAGTTAGGGGCGTTTGAATCGTGTATCAATTACAACACCGAGCCTAAGAAAAACAAAAGAGATACAAAACATCGCTCAGCATAGACGGAAATAACAACTACAAGCACCGACAGTATGGCTAAGCAGAACAAAATCTCCATGAGAAATTCTATGTCATAAGTCAGAAAAACAGGCAACCGTTACGTAGAAAATCGGCAAGCGGTAAATTGGTAGTAAGTCCACAC